CCGTGGCCTTGGTGTTATCAGCACCACACTCTCCCGAGTGAGCCACGGGCCGGCCCTATCGGCCTTGATTTTTGTCTCTGGTCCCACAAGCCTCTTGGGAAGTGAAAAAACAAAGTTCACCTAATGCTCTCAGAAAGCAACTGTCTTTTTTGTCCATAACTTTGTAGCTTCCTGCCTTCACGTGGCATTTGAATACATTTTTATCTGTCCTATATATTAAGTATTTCCAGCTGGGGTGAGTTCAGTGGGCTTTGGTCCAGGTATTAAACCTCATTACTATCTCCCCCACTAAGCTACAAGAATGCAAGGTTTCAGTATTAATAATGGTTTCAATATTAATAATGGTTATGTGGGATTATTATCTTTTTTTTTTTTTTTTTTTAAAGATGACTGGTAAGGGGATCTTATCCCTTGACGTGGTGTTGTCAGCACCACGCTCACCCAGTGAGCAAACCGGCCATCCCTATATGGGATCCGAACCTGTGGCCTTGGTGTTATCAGCACCGCACTCTCCCGAGTGAGCCACGGGCCGGTCCCATGTGGGATTATTAATGAACTTTTCTTGTTTTTGTAATTTTTAATAATAAAACATGTAGTAGAAGTGATCTTTTCCAGCACATTTTCCCCCTCTAATTGGTTTAAGTTTAGGATTTTTACAGTATTTTTTTCAAACTTAAAGTTTTTATTTTCTCTTAAAAATTAAATGTTCATTCATTGCCAGTATTTTGATGTATGCATAAAGCTTTTTCTTGTGTAAGCACATGTACAATATATAGGTTGGATTTGTAGATTTTTGTTTATTTTAAATGGCATACGAACTTAAAATACTTTAAAGAAATGAGTGCAAAATTATTGTAGATTTTTAATGTTTTCTCTCCTATCTTTTCAAATGTTCTTCTGCCTATTTATATTTTAATTTTATTTTTTCCAGCTTTATTGAGCAATAATTGACAAATAAAATTGTATGATCTTAATGTGTACAATGTGATACTAATGTTTTATGAAATGATTACCATGATCAAGTTAGTTTACATGTCATATGTATATCAGATCCCCCAAACTTATTTATTTATTAGTGAAAGTTTGTGCCCCAATGCCTACACGTGTGTTGAAAGCAGTTTTTCTTAATGACTTGCCTCCAGTTTTTCTACAACATTTATCTTCTTTTTCTAGAAACAACAGCTTTTCATTTTACACACATCTCCATTGGTTTGTGTAAGTTTTAATTACTTTTTGTAACACATTGGAGAATACGAACAGCTGATTTTTGGTAAGCATATCAGCCAGTTTGTGTAGAAGGGCACAGTACGCTATAGAGCAGCTTATCAACCCTGTGTGCCCACAATGCGGTAGTTTTCCTTCCATATATTTTGCAGAGGGAATGGAGAGTTAATACAGTGCACTGCTTAGGAGAATGTCTACTATATTATTTTATAAGACTAAATATTTTTTTATCTTAGGTGTCATGTTTTGAATTCTACCAGGAATGTAAGGATTGTAATTATTACAATTCAGGCTCAAGATATAAGAAGAAATATTGTTATCCAAAGTTTCTTTTCCTTTATCCCTTTCCCCTTCTCCAGGTGGGCCCTATGTGTATGAACTCAGTGCAGTCCTTATACACAGAGGAGTGAGTGCTTATTCTGGCCACTACATTGCCCATGTGAAAGACCCACAATCTGGTGAATGGTACAAGTTCAATGATGAAGACATAGAAAAGATGGAGGGGAAGAAATTGCAACTAGGGATTGAGGAAGATCTAGGTAAAACCTTTAAGTTGTGAGTGCCCTTTTAAAATATAAATTTTTTTTTTTACTGGAAATATTTGTGATAAGTTATTATGGCCCAAGATTGTTATGGTCTATCAAGGATATTTACATTTCTTTTTTTTTTTTTTTTTTTTCCTTTTTGAGACCGGCCGCACCGCGCTCAGCCAGTGAGCGCTGTGAGCGCATCAGTCATCCCTATATAGGATCTGAACCCGCGGCGGGAGCGCTGCTGCGCTCCCAGCACTGCACTCTCCCGAGTGTGCGATAGGCTCGGCCCGATATTTACATTTCTTAAACACATAAAATCACTGAGCATCTTTTATGAGCAATGCCTGCTCTAAAAAAAAATAATAATAAAAAGATTTTGCTCCAGAGATGCTTTCATAATGTCATGCTTTCCAGTCGAGCTTGAAGGCAAAAAATCAATCTTTGATTATCAGGTTCACGTTAGGAGAATGGTTGGTATTAAGCTAAAGATGATGAATAGTAGATTTCTTACTGTATCTGAGCCACTTTTCCAAGGTGTCCAACAGAGAGGAGCATGGTAGTTGGTATCAGGCTTTCAAGACATATGGATCATCTCTGCAGATATTCACATGGTGACTATATTCTTGTAGTTTGGAGAGGTATTATCTATTTTTAAATCACATTTGTGTGTTTATAGACTTTCAGCTATCTTGCTTCCATTTTACTGGAGTAATACTTAAGTTCTTAACCTTTGCTTATTATTTTTTTTTAATTGCTGCATTCTTACTAGGAACAAGATTGAGATGTAACTTACTTGGTTTTTTGGTGGCTGCCTGGTACAGGGATCCAAACTCTTGACCTTGGTGTTATAATACCACACTCTAACCAGGCTGAGCTAACCAGCCAGTCCTGTAGCTTTAAATTGTGAATAATTATGTCATGGTTTTATCTGACTGTTCTTTACTGAGGTTTTATTTGATTTATCTTCATTTTAGTCAGAGAATTGTAGGATTAAAAACATTAGGCTGTCCTGTCTATCTTCTATATATGGGTAGTTCTAAATTTTAAAGCAGTTCAAGAGAAAGACACTCCACACCCATCAGTATCCCATTCCAGAGTTTTAATAATTCTTTCATTGTTATATGCAACATATATTGAAGGTGTCATCTGGTTTTTTAAATTAAAAATAGGAAATACTTGTTCATCAAATTCCATTAGACATTCATTACAGAATTCTATCCTGAACTTTTATGAATCACTTGATATTCCATCTTATACAAAGTAATGAGCATCTTAAATCTTGGATACTCTCCATTTACAGATGACTAACCTCCTCTTACCTGTACATTCTCCTGGTATTTTAATTCCCTATGACAGTAAAGGAGTCTTCAATCTTTTTTACTCAAGTATTTATAAGAATGCTGAACAACTTTTGTTTCTCATTGCACACTTTAAAATTGAACATTTTTCATCATAAATATAAGTTCCAAGTAACATAATTTATGAAAAATTATAAATATTGAAATTTAAACTGCAACATCCCTCTTAAGAGTATCCAAAAGATACTGAATTCCATAGGGATTTGATCCCTATTATCATCCTTTTCAGAGATCCATGAACAGGTCTTCTTTTATAGTAGGACATTTTTAACACTTCCTTTTTATTCTGCACTAGTATCTCCATTACACTTAACCTACAGAATTTTATTCTATTGGAATATGCTAAGTTTTCTGTGACCATAAGCTCTTTTTTTTTTTTTTTAAAGATGACCGGTAAGGGGATCTTAACCCTTGACTTGGTGTTGTCAGCACCACGCCCTCCCAAGTGAGCTAACCGGCCATCCCTATATAGGGATCCGAACCCGTGGCCTTGGTGTTATCAGCACCACACTTTCCCAAGTGACCCATGGGCCGGCCCTGACCATAAGCTTTAAGTGGTTAAAAAGTTCTTCTGGATTAAGTATTGTTGTTTTTTAAAATTATAAATATTACTACATAAGTGATCAAACTCATAAATGTATATTATAAATTTTATTGGATTAAGCACAGAGTAAAATTCTACTGTAAATCTTTTTTTTTTTTTTTTAAATGTTGGCAGCTGGCTGGTACAGGGGTCGAACACTGGACTTCAGTGTTACCAGCATCATGCTCTAGCCAACTGAGCTAACCAGCCCCGTAAATATATCTTTTAATAAGATGGATGAGATTCTTTTCCTTTTTTTTTTTTTTTGTCACTGGGTGAGAGGTTATATCTTTCTTTTGTAGAGTGGGAGACAGATGATTGTGAAAGAAGAGGTAGAAACCATCATGGGACCTCAACTTTGAGGCAGATCAGTTTTAGAAAAGAAAATAGTGAATTGAAGATATGGTCATTGTTTCCCCAGAACTGCCTGTGACCTTTTACCTTTAGAAGGTTATCCTGAAATACTCAAACCCAATTTGAAGATCACTCTCACATGATACACAGCCAGCCCTCTGAATCCATGGGTTGCACATCTGTGTGTTCAACCAACCACAGATCAAAAATATTTGGAAAAAAACTGGCCAGCCACCAGAAAATATATATATATAGGGGGAAAAAATCGCATCTAAACTGAACACATACAAACTTTTTTTCTTGCCATTATTCCCTAAACAATACAGTAATGACAATTTGCATAGTATTTACATTGTATTAGGAATCATAAGTAATCTAGAGATGATTTGAAGTATACGGGAGGATGTGCATAGTTTATATGCAAATACAACAGCATTTTCTGGTGGGACTTGAGCATCCTTGGATTTTGGTATCCATAGGAGGTCCTGGAACCTATCTCCCATGAATACCAAGGGAAGACTGTACTTGTACTTGCCATCTAAAACACTTAATGTTTTCCACTTGCTACTGAATTTATAGAGATTAGTGGCTAATCTTTCTGCTCTTTAGCATTTCATTCAGTTTTTTTTTTTTTTTTTTTTTTT